GAGAAAAGAGACAGATAGGACGTCGATATAAGTCACAGTTATGATTTCACAGATTCGAGACAGCTTGATAGCCCTAACGGCCCCAGGTTTTCGCCCGTGCACGCTAAGTGACTTTCATTACAAGCATTTAGCTTTCCGAAGTCTATGACAACACTTGTTTGGCATTGACGGGCGCGAATTTCGTGCCAATAAGCTGCCTCGACTTGTTCGATTTGTTATCAACTCAATTTCATATTTATTTTCACATTTTCACTTCGCGGTCCTTTTCTGTTCTTTTTCCGTTATTTACAAGTGTAGGTCATTTGATATCATCATTTATCACATACTTCCATGACAGTCTTGTCTGTCGGCTACAACTGCCAAGAATTAACGCGATTGGCGAAGCGTAGTGACAGCGGGCCAATAGAGAGCAGGATCCTTGCTATAATGCGGTTTGCGCGCCAATTTTCGTACGTGCGTTAATCAAGCCGAATAGTTTGACCGAATATTCGGCTATTCGGCCACGCTCCTGGCCGAATATTCGGTATTCGGCCTGAGGCCGAATATACTATTCGTTACAACACTAATACTAAACTATTTTGATTCAATATTTCTTGCTACTTATTGTAAATGTTGTTGATATTTCAGGAGTTTTTCATATAATTTAAATATATGTTACGGTAAATATGAAATACGGTAACATTTTTTATTGTCTAAGTCATTGTTTTTTAACTCTTGTTGGCACTCTTCGGTCACACACATGTGTGTCGCAGAAATATTAAATATTTCTTGGAGTTTTGAATAAGCTCTTTTTTTGAAATTTCATTTATTTTTCATCTTTTTAACGCTGATCGACCGAAGGAAGAAGGAAGTATTCACTAACATGAGAATTGTTGCATCAAAATACCCCTCATAAAATGTTGTGTGCACGTATACCAGGATGCCAACTCTTTGGAGGCTTATCTGTGGCTTATCTTAAAGCTTATGCTTAAAGATCGATACTGACTCTTTACGTATTGATTCAAATAATCTTTTTATTTTTATAGTATATTTGTAAAATTGCGTTTTTGTCTTGGTAAAGTTAACCACCAATTTTAAGCTTCCATACTGTTCTTTGATATAAAACGAATGTTTTTCTGTTTTTTTCCCCTCTCTCTCTCTTTCGTTTCGTTATTAGAATCTCAAACTTTAAAAGAAGAATTTGGGGATCCTTGTGAAAACTTTTACGAATTTTCATGCGGAAAATTTGCCTCATCAAAAAAGAATTTGATACATACATCATACATAATGGACAATATGGAAGACTTCAATGATAAACTAATCGGTAAGTAAATACAGTGTATATTAATATAAATAAATATGAAATTACATTAAAGACTATTTATTGCAGAAATCATAAATGAGACCAGGAAATCTGAAAATTTAACGGAAGCACTAAAAAATTTTTTCATTTATTACAACAGTAGTGAAAATTACGGTATTTCATTTTACTTTACTTACAGTACATTAATAATTAGTTCATTTAGCTTTGGTTATAATGTGTATATATATATATATATATTAAATAGTTATTTTAAAATTAATTAATTAAATCTAATATATAAATGAAAATGTTTGTTTGTTTGTTCGTTCGCTATACACTTCTAGACCGTTCGACCAATTGCTACGAAATTCAGCTGTTACGTTTGCATACTTCTAACTTAGATAATGTCGTACACTACACATTAAAATATTCATTGAATTTTTGTAAATTAATTAATTTTTATCTACATTCAATTTGCTGACTTACTAAGGGTTTATCATACTAAGTGACTAATCTAACACATTTTAAAAATTCTTTATTCTTCTACTGTACACAATTTAAAGAATTTTTAAAATGTAAGATACGTAAGATAACCTTTGAAAATATAAATCAAATATTATAATATAATATAATAAAAGAGTTTAAAGTATGAAATAATCTACTAATCTTATTCTTTGCTGTTGTTATTTTTTGCCCAACGACATCAACACCAGGCTTACTTTTTCGGAAAAGTAAAAACTGCTTTATCATACAGTAGTTTCGGATTGGATAGATTAGAGCTAAGATAATATTTTTCAATTTTTCTCTAAAATTTTTCTCCCTAGTTTGATAACATTTTTGGCACTCGTATGCCACTGAAGACCTTGACAACAGACCGATAGGGGTAGAATTTTCCTGGTTTTCTTTATTTGTCTAGCATCTAAATAGGAGCTATTTTCCCATAGAAAATCTTATTATATAGGTAAATGTCTCTTCAATCCGAACAAAATTTCGGTAGACTTTCTCACAGCTCTACAGGTTAAAAATCTCCTTTATTGTTTTTCACAGATGCATTTCGGNTCAATGATAAACTAATCGGTAAGTACATACAGTGTATATTAATATAAATAAATATGAAATTACATTAAAGACTATTTATTGCAGAAATCATAAATGAGACCAGGAAATCTGAAAATTTAACGGAAGCACTAAAAAATTTTTTCATTTATTACAACAGTAGTGAAAATTACGGTATTTCATTTTACTTTACTTACAGTACATTAATAATTAGTTCATTTAGCTTTGGTTATAATGTGTATATATATATATATATATTAAATAGTTATTTTAAAATTAATTAATTAAATCTAATATATAAATGAAAATGTTTGTTTGTTCGTTCGTTCGCTATACACTTCTAGACCGTTCGACCAATTGCTACGAAATTCAGCTGTTACGTTTGCATACTTCTAACTTAGATAATGTCGTACACTACACATTAAAATATTCATTGAATTTTTGTAAATTAATTAATTTTTATCTACATTCAATTTGCTGACTTACTAAGAGTTTATCATACTAAGTGACTAATCTAACACATTTTAAAAATTCTTTATTCTTCTACTGTACACAATTTAAAGAATTTTTAAAATGTAAGATACGTAAGATAACCTTTGAAAATATAAATCAAATATTATAATATAATATAATAAAAGAGTTTAAAGTATGAAATAATCTACTAATCTTATTCTTTGCTGTTGTTATTTTTTGCCCAACGACATCAACACCAGGCTTACTTTTTCGGAAAAGTAAAAACTGCTTTATCATACAGTAGTTTCGGATTGGATAGATTAGAGCTAAGATAATATTTTTCAATTTTTCTCTAAAATTTTTCTCCCTAGTTTGATAACATTTTTGGCACTCGTATGCCACTGAAGACCTTGACAACAGACCGATAGGGGTAGAATTTTCCTGGTTTTCTTTATTTGTCTAGCATCTAAATAGGAGCTATTTTCCCATAGAAAATCTTATTATATAGGTAAATGTCTCTTCAATCCGAACAAAATTTCGGTAGACTTTCTCACAGCTCTACAGGTTAAAAATCTCCTTTATTGTTTTTCACAGATGCATTTCGGGCAAGTTTAATTTTCCTGCCCCTCCTCAGTGCTACAAAACAAATTCATATTGAATTTACACAAAACAACTTTTGAGTAGAAAATGCTTACAAGACATAAAAAGACATTTTATAATACCTTAAGATTTCCCACATGTTTCTTCATCTCTTTTACAGTACTTGTACTATCAATTTACAATGTTTT